AGACTCACTCCCAATAATCTTCAACACATATTGGGTCGTAGAAGATGGATCGGGTCATGCACAATTTGGGTTAGGTCTCGACTACGCATTCTGTGGGATGGCTGACGCGTTGTTCCAGCCACCTTGTGACATGTTTTATCTTTTCATTGGTACGTGTCTCTCCCGTCGTCGGCTGCCTTGTATTCACCGTTGATTACTCCTACATACAATTATTTTTTTTTCAAATTCCGGTCAGCGATATGCTTCAACCTATTAACTTTATATTTTATTTCCAATCTGCAAACTTGAAATGACTCGATTACTCCACGAAAAAGCATAGATCTCTATTCTACCTATTAGGATACGATTTCCTTGAATTTTTTAAACACACATAGACCTTAATAATTGAGTTCAAATTTGAGAAAAATAGAGTTTCCCCTATTTGTGGCTAGTTGACTAGCAAGAATCCTTCCCTGATCATCATAATCAAATATTATGACCTAAAAGCACTGGAAACCCTCAGATCTTGAAGCAAAATTAGGAAACAAAAGACCTGGGGACTAACCTTATGTTCTTGCTTGTTTCTTGACAAAATCAGATGATCCAACGACCCGTACTGATTCTCCTTGATCTTTTGAGTAGATTTAGAGAGAAATGTTTGGCCAACTCGTCCTCCAAGTGGGAGCATTTTCTTTGTTATCTTCTTCTTCCTCCTACCACAAAACCCTAACTCTCCCTTCCTCTCTCTTCTTTCCTCCTTTCCTTTTTTTACTTCTTTTCTTTTCTTATTAGGTCAGCCATACCCCTGGAAGTAGCATGTGGGGGCAAGTAATATTTTTCTCTCCAATGAGTTTGACCCAAAATTTTTTCGATTTAATGATATTTTTTTAAAAAAAAATTCTAGGTTTCTCGAGGCATCCGGAGCATTTTTCCCTTGTGCATTGATTTGAGATTCACTGTCTAAATCCCTAATAAAACTTCAATACGTATTAGTTTCGAGGGTTACAAGCTCAAAGTTAACTCTTGATTTTCAAGTGATATGGGTGTTGTCTCAAGATAAGCTTTTGGTAGCTTTTAATTTTCAAGTATTTAAGCCTACACTCAATTAGGATGAGATGAATGTGAGCTATTGATTATTTGAAAATCAAATAATCAAGATGAGGTCTCAAGATTAGCTTTATGTCAGATTAGCTTTATGTCAGATTTTGATTACAAGTAATCAATATGCCAGCATAAGGCTAGGATTCGAGTAGGCTTCAGGATCAAGTAAGTTTACAACACACCCATGCTCTAAATTAGCATTATACAAGATTTAAGTCCATTACTACAACATGAAGACTACTAGGGACTACTCAAGAAATAAAAACCAAACACAAGAATCGAGAACACAAATTAAGGTAAATGACAAGAACTAAAAACAGTACTAAGAACCTAAGAACCTTAAAACTAACATCATTAGATCATAACCAAAATTAAGAACTAGAATCTAGGGCCAAGATCCTTAGCCAGACATGACCAGAATTCNAAAAAAAAAAAGCTTACATTCTCGGAACAAAAAAAAAAACCTGACCAGAAAAAAAAAAAAAAAAAAAAAAAAAAAAAAAAACCTCATTCCTTCAATACTCTCTCAATATCATCTATATGATTTTCACATATTTTAAAGCAGTTTTGCATCTCTTCATTGTTGATTAATGATCATGTCTCATAGTGAGGGCGAGTGTTTATAGACGAGTGTCCCGGACGAATTCCTTTAAAATAGATCTTTCAAGGATAGTACCAGACAACATGGGTCGATTTTGCACCCCAACTCATGTGTTAGAGGTTGAATTATGCACCCGCTATCCATGAGTCCATAAATGACATGGTCACAAGAGGATCAATGTATATGGATCGGGCTGACTCAATGACTCAAAAAAGATGGGTAAATTTTTTGCAAAATAAAACAAACAGTATTTAAATCATAATATTCATTAAAACTAAATAGTGTTCATACATGAGTAATTAAAACACGACACAACAGTTAAAACATAAAATAAGGAACGACACAAAACATTTTAAACAAAAAAGGTTGAAGAATGATGGGTGAGGCTTGTCTATAGCACCTGCTCGAGAGTCCACTCCCGACCTCAACCAGCTCCTTATTACCTGAAAAAAATAGAAAATAAGGAGTGGGTAAAAAGACTCAGTAAGTAGCCTACCTATAAGCTCTTAATCGTATCCTTGATATACTAAAATACCACACTCTTTCTTATTGTTTTTTATTGTAAGTATTTAGGCCCCCTAGTTATGCTCTTGACTTAGGGTTCTTATCATGATCTATCCGGAGGGCCTTGGTCCTAGGATTTTGAAACCTTGGTTATCTTTTAAGGGTCATAGTACTACGGTTCTTGATTCTTGGTTTTTATCCTTAGAACTTGAATCTTGATCCATATTCTAGTCCTTGATCTTCATCTTGTTCTTGTACATTCGAGGTTCTTGTTATGTTCTTGATTCGTTCTTGATTCGTTCTCCAAGACACAACCCCTAGGATTTACGGTACTAGTCATGAACTTGACAACTTGTGTCCAAGACTTCATGCGTTCCAAGTGACACAGTCTTAATCTACGTCCAAGGCTTCATGTGTTTCAATTGACGTAATCTGAACCCGCATTTTAGGGCTTGCCCTTTGATAAGGTTTGAAAACCTATGTCAAAGGCTTCATGCGTTCCAAGCGGCATAGTCTAAAAACCTACATCCAAGGCATCTTATGTTCCATGCGATGTAGTTTAATCCTGCATCCAGGGCTTGCCCTGTGATACAGTCTAAATACCTATGCCCAAACCTTCATGCATTCCAAACGGCATAGTCTGAATACCTCGCTCAAGGCTTCATGCGTTCCAAGTAGCATAGCCTGAGTCATGAACATGTTGTACCGTGGGAGTCTTAGGAGGTTCTTGATTCATAGCTAAGGTAACTTACTCTCTTCTAATTCTATCGTGGACCTAGATTACTCCCCATGATAGACCATAAAGATCATGTGATCGGTGCATACATGAACATGGCATCTTGCAAATCTTTGGGTAACCATAACATGGTGTAGGACGTCTCATCTAAGTCGAAAAAACAAGAGGCAAAAAATGACATCTTGCAATGAAAACATGGTGAAGGACATCCCACCTCGAACAGGGAAACATGGGCCTCTAAAAGCACCGCGTGATGGAAGGTCATGGGTCACAATTGGACATGATTAAAGTATTACCTAGCATTTCTTGAGTTTGTGAGTCTAAGGACCTTGATCCCTAATCCTTGAGTGGTACCTAGGATTCTTCTTACTTTGGTAGTTATGGTGCATATGTGGTATTGTTCTTGGTTCTTAATCTTTTAAGTTTCTAAGGTTCATAATTCCTTGAAGGTAACGTACATTCATAAACTTATGGGCCCATCACAATAACAAGCTTAAGTTATTCTAGAAGGTCATAGAGTCATGATGAATTCAGTAGAGGATTCTAGAAGAGTCTTGAGGTGTTTCTATGGTCCTAACTTGGTTTAAGTTCCATACTTACTCTACTCAACTTGAAATCTCAAACATATCTTCATGTTCGGAAGAATAGACCTTATAAAAAGTAATAGGTTATTTGAAACACGTATAGACCTTGAAATATCATAAATAGTCATAGAGGCATTTTGGTAATCTCAAATTTTTCTAGAAAAATCTACAACTAAAAATTCTTCATTCCTTGTCAGCCATTTTTCTGATCTTAATTAACTTGAAATTCCTTCTAGATAAGGAATTAAAAAACTGAATAAATTTTTTTTTTTTAAAATTGGAAAAAAAATGACATTTTCATCCCTTACTATTTTTTCATCCTTCTCCAAAAGTCTTAAATGCTTAAAATTAATTCTTATGGTATATAAATGACTTGCTTAAGATAGTTGTTCATGCTTAAATCCCTTAATTTCTTTCTTTGGATCTTTTAGTCTGACATGAGTGACTTATTTTTGTTGGAGCTAATTTTCTTCATTTTTGGGGTGTTACACAATGCCTCAATAGATAGATGTTTGGGATATTCCAATGTTATGAATGACACATGAGTTTGTCCTCGATGACATGACCGGGTGAGCTTTGATTGCCGACGACACTCCCTAACTTAGGATGGCGTCAAGACACATAGGCCATGTTAATTGAGAACCAAGATGATGTTGGATGTGACGTTGCACACGAGAGACCTTGGCCCCGAGTAAAGGCAAGGTTGAGTCGAATAACTTGGTCTAGTATAGAGGCAAGTTAGTTGTGTCGTAGCTGATTGAACGTGCACACGTAGGTGGTGTGTGTGGTTGAACAAGCTTGGATTTTGTTCAAGTGATGTTCTGTTGGCGAAAACAAATCTTACCTAAGGTTCGACAAAGTCACAAAGTCGATTGAAAAATAAATATGGGGCTTGAGATTCCCTTAAGATTGATCGTGAGAGTATCAAGATCATGGTGCCACGCGGTTGAAAAAGTAGGATCGTGACACTAAACATAGGAGACCTCAATTGATCTGACTCGTAACCCATTAGAAGTAATTTATTCCATGTTTTTAGTTTAGATCATAAATATTCTTAAAATTTGTAATTATCACAAATATTTTCATTAATATTTTTTAACAATACTATTAATCTTTTATAAAAACAAAAAAAATGTTTTTAAAATATTCTTAAGGTTAATTTTGGGTGGAAATTATTATTACTTTGTTTCATATATATAACCATTAAACTTTTTAAAGTTTAAAAGTGTTACAATAATATGCATAAATTTTAAAAAGTCTCATCAATGCAATTTTTTTTAAAATTTAAAAATATTAATATCATGTTTAAAGTGTCCATAAAATTTTAATAATAGCATTAACACGGGTAACTATAACTTTTATTTAAAAAAAATAGTTGTATTGTTAATATATAGACGAAACTCTTCTATCTACGTCTTATAGATCACCTCCAAACTTTTCTTGAAATTTAAGAGTACTAATGCTAATGCTAGTTTTGAAAGTTCACGAGTACTTTTCAAACATGGTACTGATAGTTCTTTTCCTATACGGATGGCAAAGGTACTTTTGAACTTTTTAAAAAGTTTTAAGAGTTAGATAGAATTTTTAAAAAATCAACCCTCTTTAAAGTTAAAAGAGTATTTTTTAAATCATCTTGAAAGTTGAAAGGTATATTTAACACAACTTAATAACCTTTTCATGACAATAAGGATTCCAAATTGCCGAAGGCAAATATAATCATAACTCCACCTTCAATGGTTTTTTAGGAAGGAACTACACTTCGAATCAAAAAAAATTAATACTTCTGTATATATTTGAAACAAAGAATTAACGGTTGACGACGATGAACATATTTTATTTTATTTTATTTTTAAGTTTAAAGTTTTTTTTAATGGAGGTATTTTCAAACTTTTGAAAATATGGAAAGTTCACCTGTATTTTTATTTTTATTTTTTTAATTTTGTTTTTAATATTTTAAAATTATGAAATTTATCTTTAATAGACTTCATCCATATAGTACTTCAAATGATACAATTTGTGTCGTTGTTTGGTAATTATTGTTATAGGCAAACTCTAGAGATGTAGGTGCTCCTCCCAATGCCTGCGAAGTCCATGTCACATGGCCCAACATGTTCTCTAGAATCTAATTCAGTTATTTGGTTTATCTTTTAGTTTGAGGGTGAAAGGTCATATCGAACTTCAACTACGTCCCAAGTGACTTCTACAAACTCTTTCAAAGGCGAGATGTGAACCTCGGATCTTGGATTGACACGATTGAAACTGGTATTTCGTAGAGTCGAACTGTCTTTTCCATTCATAATTGGACCCACTTCTCTATTGGTATGTTGTCATGCCAGATGAAATGGGTCATCTTAGTTAATCTGTCGATGATGACTCATATAATAATGAACCTTTTCTTTGTCTTTAGTAACTCCAATATAGTCCATAGTGACATCTTCACACTTCCGTTGGGACACACATAGGGATTGCAATAGGCTTAAAGGTCCATGTCTTCGTGCCTTAATCTTCTGGCAAGTCAAGCATCGACTTACATATTCTATAATGACCCCTCCCTTTCCCAATTAAAGTCCCGATACATTTTGGTCCTTTATAAGTTGATGGTTTAGGGTGAGTCATGGGCCTTAGTCAATAATTCCTTTCAAACTTCTTTATTACAAGGTTTTAGAGCATCAAACCAACAAAATCCACCATAGAGCCAATGATATGATGAGTGCATCCCGACTTATATACCGAAAGCATAATGACCTAGATGGATCAAAGAGAGGAAATGGAAGCTAAGCGCACCTAGAATCTTGAGAAAACTCTGATGGTTGACTTACAATCTTGGGATAGAAGTGAGATTGGTAAATGGACGAGCTTGAGAGGACTTGATTGACTCAAGCTATGCAATTGGCTAATTCGAGGTCAAGAATAGAACACATATTTTTAAGAAATATTAAATATTAAATAATAGAAGATTCGATGAGATTATACTAGTAGGTGTTAGGATTAGATTAGATTTGGTTATTAAGTTTTCTATAAAGAAGATGATGAAGCTCACTCGACCATGTTTATCACTACTGAACCTTATCTCTGTCCATTCCTAACAGTAGGTTGCATATTAAACATTTTTATACTTGTTCTTATCTTATACCTGCATCAGTGAGAGGACTNTTTGAAATATTTTACAAACATTTTTGTATTTGGTATGTTTTTAACGTAGGAATGAATTTCTATTTTAGTATTTCATTAAGAAAAAAAAAACACTTTATTCCTCAAACCAAATAATACTATATATATTAAATTTGAGACAAAATGAAACATAGAAAATGAAGCGCCCACCGTGGGGCTCGAACCCACGACCACAAGGTTAAGAGCCTTGCGCTCTACCAACTGAGCTAGACGGGCTTATTTGCTGAATTATTTTATATATAAAGTATATTTTATGTGTCCAATGTCATTTTTATTATTTTTTTCTTTGGTAACAATTTATAGTTCAATATTTCTATCACAGATAGGTTTAGATATTGCTTTACTCATATATATTAGATATCACATACGAGTTTAACGATATGAATTGAGGAAGAAAAATATAAATTCGGTCTCAAAATCTTAACCTTATATGTATGCATATAAATATAAAGCTTATAACTTGTTAGAAGGGAGGTATCCATTACCGTCATTAGTAGCATTTACAAAAGTAAAAAACAAAAAAATAAACCTTACAACTTCTTAGAAGTGAGCTATCCAGTAAGAACGTTACAAGAAGTTTCAATCGTTTTGGAAAAAGCATTAAAGGCGGCGTGGAAAGCGATCAGTTGCCCGTCTACGCCAAATGGGACCCACACGCTTACTTTCCCTTCGTGTTTTGCTTACGTCACCTCCCCCATCTATTTCTCATTAAATATCAATATTGCCACTCCCTTTAAATAATGTTTTCTTAGTTCACAAGAATATGAATTCCAACCTAAACCTTTCAAAATCAAACTACTCATATACATTATTATCGTAAGAGTTGAGATGTTTCCAAAATCTAAATATTAATTATTATGAAGGAGTCGACTTGTATCCAGCCAATTAAAGAAAGTAAATTTGGGAAAGATGGTAGGCCATTTTTCTATAAATTCCAAAATAATAATTAATGCTTCTTATCTTGTTTTATTTTTTATAATTTTGTCTAACTTTCATTAATGAACCAAATTACATACAATAAAATTAAATAAATAAATAAAAAGATGATGATTTACGTTGGTTTCGAACCTGTGTCTTAAAAAGAAGGGAAAAAATTTAAAAATAAAAGAGGCTCTCCTAGCCAAATAAGAGCCCAGGACACACGGGACAAAAAGTACTAGGGACTTATCTTGGTTTCTTGAATCATGAGCCAAAATATGGATATGACATCCTACGAGAAACATAACTAGGGCATCCTCTAATATAGAGCTGAGGAAAAACATGATGCCTGAATATGACATCTTGCTAAGAAAAACATGGTGCACGACATCCCACCTAGAACAAGAAAATACAAGCCTCGAGAAGCACTGCGTGGTGGAAAGTCATGGGTCACCCTTGAACGTGATTAGAGTATTACCTAGCATTCTTTAAAGTCATGATAACTTTAGGGCATGAAATGTGTAATGTTCTTGTCTTGTTCATATCCTTAGGCTAGCAAATCTTTGCATAATCTCATGGGCTAACCCTAAGGTAATGCGTACTAGTAACCCATCCCATCTTCACGACAGGTTTAGAATTCATGGCCCTAAAGTATACATGTCTTATTCATGTAACAAGTCATCCTCGTGAGCTCAAGTCAGTCGTGACACCATATTTATTATAACTCTTGAGTTTGGAATTTTCATGAATTCTTTTAAGTTGGTCATCCGGGGTATTTTTCTATATTTACTACTTGAGTCTTTGGTCCTACCACATATGTCTTTGTTGGAATTTATGTTCTAAACCCTCGTAATTAATTATTTAATTTTGAATAATAATTATTATTATTTTATTTACCATTTAATATTATCCTTAATATGAAAATTCAAGGTTATTAAGTATGTGTTTGACATACAAGAGAATCCTCGTTTTTAAGTAATAACCTAAGGAGTGTACAGTATATGGATAAAGTTTGGTGTCGTATCCTGATAACTATTGATACGACGCACTTTGTAATTGTCACAAATAATTTGATCCAAATCGTTCATGCAGAGACATGTAAGTAGGGGTAGTTTGTATAAATTGATCAAGAAATATTTAATTTCTCCTTATAAATCCGTTAATTGAGAAGTTGATTAAAATGTTATTGTCTATTGATGAAAGATTTTGAATTGCAAAAATCATTTAAGTATGAAAGATATGAATACTAATTTTGGGCAGAGAGAAAATATTGTCCATTTTTCTTTCGGATATTATTTTGAAAATATATTGTGAAGCGGGGAGAGAAAATGCTTTAAAAATTTGTTTTGAATTAAGGTCCAAAAATGGTAAGAATTTGGGAAATGCCTATTTTAAATGAGATTATATTTTTCCATATTTGATGAAATTAATTTTGAATTTCTGAAAAATCGTTTGAAATTCGTATGCATCTGCTTCCTAGGAGATTGAACTGTCTTGCTAAAAAAAAAAAAAACAAGAAGGCAAATGGTTAGTTATTTTCGTTTTGTTCAACTTTCATTGGACTGTTTTTACTATGATTTTCATATTAAGCTTAATATGACTTTAATTTGGACCAATTAGTGAAATTTTTAGAGACTTGGAGCTCCAAGTGAGTGGAAAATAGGAGCTGGCAAGGTATACACAATCATGTAAGTAGCCGTTTGGATTCTTTTGAGTAGTACTTACCAAAATCATTGGGATTTGCTAGCATGCAAATATGATGGGTCACATATAGCTAGATAATGGATGTTTAGGGCATGAGATGAAGTTGAAATGTTGTATTCTATAATTGATGTCTACGAACGTCTAAAGTGTCCATAGAATGAGATTTCACAATTGTATGTTCTCATTTTGCGATTGAGAATGACATTTGTATTCTAGGTAATTGATTGAGTTCTCTCTATTTTAGCATACCAAAATGTATTGAGAATGATACTATATTTTAGGCCATTAATTGAATTATCTCCCTGTGTGTTGAGCATGCATGAGTGTAATGAGAAGAATAGGGCACTAGAGTTAAAGACAATTTTATAATGATTTAGGTTAGGACTTTTAGACCGAACTCTAGGATAGTAAGTGGCGATCAAAGGTCAAGACCCTAGTGCTCCCAAAACCACATTAATCCCATAAGCTAGTTTAAAGAGTCATAGAGATTAGAGTTTAAGTTTTAATCTACCTAGATGACCTAAAAACCTAGTTAATCTCTAAGACACCTGAGAAAGATTAAGAAAACTTGTTAGGCCTACTAGCAACGTGAACAGTATCACTAGAGCTTTCACCTCCTATTTTGTCTAGTACATTATTAGCTTTATCAGTGACCCAGGTGTTGTATACTTCATTATATATCTTACATTTGTCAATATATATATATATATTCATTGTTACATTGTTTTTTTTAAAAAAAAATAAAATTTGGGTAAGATTATAGAAAGGGGAAAAAAAAGCATCCAAAGGAATCTTAAATATAAAAGGTAAGAAAGAAAAGAAAGTGTTGAAAACGCTTTATTTAGTAACATAATAATAATAAATACATAAAAGGGTAACAGAAAAATTGGTGTTATTGATATATCCATTGAATTGAGAACAAATTGCCTTGTAAGTTTATTAATATTATCACATAGCAAAGGAAGAGAAGGAAATTTAGGTCAGCGTTGTTGATTATTTGAGGAATTATTTGTGTGGGTTAATACGTTGTTTGTGCTTTTAGGCTCTTAGAGAAGAGCGCTTGAAAAAGGGTTATCCCTTCTGCTTCCAACCCTCTCTTCCTCCCAATCTCCTCTACATTTCAATGAGTTTTGCATTTTTTTTGATTTCAACCATTTCAAACGCCCCCATATCATGACTTCCGCTACTCACGATCTCCTCTCCGCCCCACATTTCAAGGATCTCGCCATTAAACTCTTCGGCCGCACCATCCCTTTGCCGGAATCCAACATTTCCGCCGCCCTGCAAAATCTGGTATCTATTTTCTTTCTATCTTCTCCGTTTTCTATTTTCCTTCCCTCTCTTCTTTCCTTCTGCCTTTAATCTCACTGTTTACTTATTGTTTCTGTTGCTGATTGCACTCTCCTGTTCATATTCTTCATCTTCTTCTTCCCCATTTGGGGCCCTATTGAATCTCAACTTGATTTTGTTTCGATTTCTCCATTTTGTGTTGTACCTGCCTTCATTTGTTCATTTCTCCCTGTTTCCTTTCCTTGTCATTCATAAATTTAAGTCTTCCCTTATTTGGAAACATTGTATTCAGGATGGTTGCAACCATTTGAAAGAAGGTGAGCAGTGTGTGTCAGGTGCAGAAGAGTCGAGGTCGAGCGTTTTAGTAGGCGATGATGAAGAAAAGCAAGCGTCCAAGGAGGATGAAGAATTGGAGGTGCATTTGAAAGAGGAGCAGGGAGATGGTAATGAAGAAAGAGTTTTGAAGAAGCCGGACAAAATCATTCCTTGTCCTAGATGTAACAGTTTAGAAACTAAGTTCTGTTACTTCAACAACTACAATGTCAATCAACCTAGGCATTTCTGCAAGAACTGCCAAAGATATTGGACTGCTGGTGGCACCATGAGAAACGTTCCTATCGGTGCAGGACGACGAAGGAACAAGCAATTGGCATCTCAATACCGACACATAATAGTATCATCCTCCGAGGGACTTGCGACGTCTCGGTTCGAAGCATCGGATTCAACGAATCACCATCAATTCATATCAGGCCTTGAGTCTCCTGCTTTCAGGCCTTCCAATGCCAGTGCCACTCTTCTAAAGTTTGGACCTGAAGCACCACTTTGTGAATCCATGGAGACCGTGCTCACTCTTGAAGACCAGAAGAGGTCCATTGAGATTGGCTCTGCATATAGCAGAGACAGTCCTGATGAACCATCCTCCTGTGGATCCTCCATGACAACGAATGAATTCCCTAAAACTGTCGTCGAGAGGGAAGCAGCCAGATTGTCGGGTTCAAGTAATGAGAACACTTCACCCAACATGGTTCGTTGTTACCCCGTTCCACAATTGGTTTTTCCATTGAATCAGGGTGGGAACGGTGTAGTTTCATCAGCAATGGCTAAAGGTTCAGATAGCACGAGTGTATCCAATCCAGTTCAATGGCTGCCTACGACAATGCTGGCAGTTCCAGGTTATTGCACGCCTAGCCTTCCGTTACAATTTGTGCCAGCATCATATTGGGGCTGCACGCCTGTATGGACCGCAGCTGGTGTCCGTGCATCTCAAACATCCGCAGCTACCATCGGCAGCTGTGCCATGAGTTCGTCACCGACACTGGGAAAGCATTCGAGAGATGCAAGTAGCTTGACAGAGGAAGAGGAATCAGAGAAATGCGTGGTGGTACCAAAGACAGTACGGGTTGATAAGGTGAGCGAAGGGTCGAGGAGTCCCATATGGACGACATTTGAAACTACAGAAAGTAATGCAGATGGCAAAGAGCATTACAGGGAGGCTCCTCATCTCTTGGAAGCACAAACTGGAAGCTCTTACTTGTAGATTTTCCTTCAGACCACATAAAGTGTAATTCTTTTTTAAAGCTGTTCATATATCTCTGAAAGCTTTGCCAGAAATTTGGTACATATTATGATGTTTTTGGGTCACACAGTTGAGAGAATTAATCTTCCATTCTTCCATTGCCTCTGCCATCATCTGAGAACAGTAATTCTAGTTTGGTGCTTCCAGTGTTGTACCTTTATTCAATTTGGTTTATAATTATGGATATTAATATTGAGCTTGAACCCAGCAAATTGGAAGGTATTATTATTATTATTTTTTATCCTATGTCTTTAACAAGCTTACAAAAGTATTTGCTCTTCTTTTTTTTCTTTTTCTTTTTTTTTGTCTTTTCTTTATATTTATATATGAAAGTAAAGGGAAGAATAAAATTTAAAAAGTGATCTATAGAAAGGAAATAATGGAGAGATAGGGATTATGAAAAAGGGGAAAAAAGGGAGTAAAAGAGATAAAAAGAGAGAAAAGAGGAGGGGATAAACTTTTTATTGATAGATTTAAAGAAAGAAATGCACAAATAACACACAAGTCTCATAAACATTCAATGCGAGGACGCTGATAAAATTTAAGGTCCCACATTGATTGGAAGAAGAAAGAGTTCCAGCGAGGACGTTGGACACCGAAGGGCGGTGGATTTAAGGTCCCACATTGATTGGAAGAAGGAAAGAGTTCCAGCGAGGACGTTGGGCACCGAAGAACGGTAGATTGTGATATTCATATCGGTCATCTAAAGTACGAAACACATATTCTCAACACCACCTTGGTTATCTCTGGGTGCTAAGGAAGTCTATTGGGTTCTTTGGGTGGTTAGGCTGCTTATTGCAGACTTTTAATTCCATGGTATTCTATATTGTCTCTTTGAGCCTTTCTTAGTTTGGGACCACTGCGTCTAGACCCCCTGATCACCCCTTGCCATCCTAAAGTCCTCAATCTAGTATACGCATCTTGACCTAAGCCATCATCTAGTCGACATATCACTAGTGTCCTAGTCTGATCTCATTGCTTTTATCTACATTCTACAGACAATTTACTAATCTTTCGATACTCACCATAATTTAATTTGAATCAAGGCCTACTAGTGAATGTATGATTTTATGATTTTTATGCATTAGGTATATTATAGAAATATCTCCCTGATAGACATGTATGAATGAATAGAATATGTTTTATTTGCTTTAGATGATCCATAGGAATATTTTCCTAGTAAAAAATGGATGAGAGAATCAAGTTCAGATTAGAGCTCCACAACTAGAGTGACTTACGTGTTAACCTAGATCAAAACGTTCAAGTAGACCTAGCACCCTAGAATCGTAAGTGATGATCAGAGTTTTAGACATGAACGTACCCAAGGATTGGTTTAGCCCAAGGGGCTAACTCTGAGCATTCTGAAAAACATGAGATATAGACTAAACTACCTAGACACCCCAAAGGACTTAATCAACCTCCACGACATCTAAGTATGATTAAGGAAGCCTATCGGAACTCTAAGGCCACTTGAGTTATTAATGAGTGTAGGATGAAGACAAGGTTGACATCACAATCTCGTTAAACTTGTTCTAAAGAGAAACTAGGGACTACATAGGTAGTTAGCTGGACGAAGACTCTATTAAGTGTAGAGACTGTTAAACGTAGAGTAGATCATATTTGTGTATAGTAAGATAATCTAATGATTTCATAGTTTGTTAACAAATCTATGATTTAGAATGTAATCTTCATTATACACATCTATCAAAGGAATGTGCCTTTCTAGGCTACAATTCTTTACATAAAGGGTATAAGTGTCTTGACATAGATTCTGGTCGTGTCTATATGTTTAGAGACGTCATATTTGATGAAAATATTTTTCCATTCAAGAGAGTCCCACCTATTTCTTCTTCAATCATGCAGTCAACGCATAATGCTCCTGATTTGGGTGCCTCACATTTGGGTAATAGCAGTACTAATTTGGAGAATGATCACATGCATATGTCTGTGCCTACTAACTCTTTGGATGCAGAAAATTTGGTGTCTACATCAACTTCGAAATTGCCGCAGCAATCCTCCGCGTCGCTGCCATGCGAATCGGCGTCGGTTGTTCAGCCAATGATTGAGGCCTCGACTCCTCCGCCAGTAGATGATATTGCACAATGCCCGGTCGAATCCTCGGCCGCTGGTCAACCAACTACTGTAGCATCGGTTGCTCCCCTCGCAATGGCTGATACGGCTGTCCCCTCAAATGTGGATCCTGCACCTACTACTCATCCGTATGGTACTCGATTGAAGCACAATATCAAGAAACCCAAGGTGCGTACAGATGGAACAATAACATATTTTGTAGTTCGGTCTTCTGCCTCTGAACCTACTTCACATATTACTGCTATGGAGCATCCTCTCTGGCATCAGACAATGAATGATGAGTTTCAGGCACTTCAAAAAAATAAGACATGGCACTTAGTTCCTCCTCGTGCTGGTCTTAACGTTATTGATTGCAAATGGGTTTTCAAACTCAAGCAAAAGCCAGATGGCTCTGTTGATCGCTACAAAGCACTCCTGGTTGCTAAAGGGTTTAAACAGCAGTATGGCGTTGATTATGATGATACCTTTAGTCCAGTTGTTAAGCCCACTACCATTCGGCTCTTACTATCTCTTGCTATTTCTCGTGGTTGGGCTATTCAGCAGATTGATATTCAAAATGCTTTTCTTCGTGGCGTTCTTAATGAAGATGTTTATATGAAGCAGCCCCCTGGATTTGTGGATTCTCAACATCCTGGTTATCTCTGCAAGCTGGATAAGTCGCTTTATGGCCTTAAACAAGCTCCGCGTGCTTGGTTTTCTCGCCTTAGCTCCAAATTATTACAGTTGGGTTTTACACTTTCAAAGGCTGATGTTTCTCTTTTCATTTTTAACCAGACGAGCATTCAGATGTATATCCTCATCTATGTTGATGACATTATTATTATCAGCTCATCTTCTACGGCTACTGAGAAACTTCTTACACAGCTTCAGGATGATTTTGCTGTCAAGGATCTTGCATTTTGAGTTATTTTCTTAGGATTGAGGTCCGCCATACTTCCAATGGACTTATTCTGACACAACATAAATACATTCAAGATTTATTGTCCAGAACCAATATGCTCACCTCCAAAGGTGTGCTCACACCTATGCTTCCTAGTGAGAAGTTATTATTGGATGGTGGTGAAAAGCTTTCGCCTGAGGATACTACTCGCTATCGGAGTGTCGTTGGTGCACTCCAATATTTGTCTCTGACACGTCCTGATATATCATTCTGTGTCAATAGAGTGTGTCAGTTCATGTCCTCCCCAACATCTATACATTGGACGGCAGTCAAACGAATTCTCCGTTATCTACATGACACTATTGATATGGGTTTGTGTCTTACAAAGTCCAGCACTGATTTGTTGAGTGCCTTTTCAGATGCTGATTGGGCCGGGAATCCTGATGATTGTCGAAGCACTGGAGGCTATGTAATCTTCTTTGGTGGCAATCTTACTCTTGGAGTTCGAGGAAACAATCAACAGTTTCTCGTTCTAGTACGGAGGCCGAATATAAGGCAGTTGCTGATGCCACTGCTGAATTAATTTGGATCCAAGTTCTCTTGCGTGAGCTCGGGATCTCGCAAGCGCGAGCACCTAGCCTGTGGTGTGACAACATTGGTGCCACCTACGTGTCCGCCAATCCAATTTTTCATCGACGGACGAAGCATGTTGAGGTTGATTACCACTTCGTTCGTGAACGAGTATCGACTCGTCAGCTTGATGTTCGACTTATTTCTTCGAAGGATCAGCTCGCCGATATCATGACAAAGCCATTACCAGCTCCTTCTTTTAGCAATTTTAGGCGCAATCTGAACTTAGTAGTACATCGTCCAGATTGAGGGGGGGTGTTAAACGTAGAGTAGATCATATTTGTGTATAGTAAGATAATCTACCGATTTACTAGATTGTTACCAAATCTATGATTTACTGGTTTGTTACCAAATCTATGATTTACTGGTTTGTTATCGATGACACGAGTAGGAAGACGGTGTTGGAGATGGTGGATGGAGAGGAGGAGGAAGATATGGTAGACATTTAAAAATAAACCTTTGGCTCTGACACCATGTTAGGTTGAATGGCTCAATGACCTGACCTAGGGTCACGACCTCATGTATTTATAGATGTGTATAATGAAGATTACATTCTAAATCATATATTTGGTAACAAACCAGTAAATCATAGATTTGGTAACAAACCAGTAAATCATAGATTTGGTAACAATCTAGTAAATCACTAGATTATCTTACTATACACAAATATGATCTACTCTACGTTTAACAGAGACAAGTCAAGTGTCATGACTCCGTAAATCGATCTTCGAAGAAAATAAATACTACACAGGTAGTTGTCAAGGAAAGTGCTTCTATTGAATATAGAAACGGGTCAAGGTCAAGGACAACGCGGTGATTTCGTAAGTTGGTATTGGAAGAGACTAGGGACTACACGAATAGTTGTCAAGGGAGTGCTTGTATTGAGTAGAGGGATGGGTTGAGGCTGACACGGCGATGCTGTAAATCTATCTTGAAAGGGTACAAGGGAGAATACAAGTAGATGATGACTCATGATGACAATCTCAAATTGAAAATCTCGAGAATGATAGACCATTCATTTGAAGATGAAAAGCACACTAGAAAACACGTGGGTGAGTATCCATTTTTAATAAGGTGCAGAGACGATTGGTTAGATTTTTGTATGGGTTTGGTTCTTCGGTTTTGGGCTTAACATTTATGAAATCGTTTTTGGGCCCAAACAAGCCCAGTTATGCAAAACATGTGTTGAAATAGTGAAACGTGAAGATGAGGTTGCTACCACAGCACCACTAACGGCGATATTAAGACTTGATAACTGAGGAGGTGTTGTTATGATTCAATGACCGATGGAGGGGCATTTGTGATGCTACAACCATCGACACTTCTCATACAACATGACGATCAAGTTGTTGCACGATGAACAAAGTTGTTGTATGTAACGACCAATAATGAGGTTAATTAAAAGATTTTGTTTCATAGTTTTTAAAATTAAAAAATTCAAATCTAAAATCATATTTATATTTAGAAGTTGGTTGAGAAAGTAGTTAAAGAAAAGTCAGAAATCCAAGTGGCAGGTTTGAGCTACAGCACAGAAATAAAGAAAGAACAATGCACGTGAATGCTTAGATCATGACACGTGGCACTTGTTTACCGACCATTTTTTAATGTCGGCCAGATCGCGGGGTTGTGTAATAAAAAAGAAACAATAAATAAATATGGGCCCTTCCACCTTCCCAAAACGTCGGCAAACGAATCGTGTCCACGCGGCAAGGTATGAGTGGCCAAAAAATCATTAAACTCTCTTATTTTTAAAAAAATAGTTAAATCAGAGAGTCTCCTAAAATGAAATAATTAAAAAAAAAAAAAAAAAAAGTGTTGAAAGGTATGGTGTATGAGTAGTGGCAGACGCGGTATTGGCGCGTAAACGTATAAGAAAAAGAATCGCAATTATTAAAGCGATATAAAACGTCAATATCAAGGATATTGGATAAGTGAATTTATTCGTTAATAATATTATTTTGTGGTCCAAGGGATTGTGGTTGGGGATCTATAAATACGGCTCCTCCTTCCCATTCATGTCATTGGATCTAGCAAACAAAGAAATCAGAGCATCATGTCAGGGATCATGGAGAAAATAGGCGAGAAGCTCCACATCGGAGGAGACCACAAGGGGGAGCACAAAGGCGAGCACCACGAGAAGGACAAGCACGAGCACGAGAAGAAGCACGGCGAGAAGTCGGAGCACCATGGAGAAGGGCACAAGGAAGGCCTGATGGAGAAGATCAAGGACAAGATCCATGGGGGGGGTGATCATCACGATGAGAAGGGTGAGAAGAAGAAGAAGAAGAAGGAGAAGAAGAAGAAGGGCGAGCACCAGGAGGGCGGCCACAGCAGCAGCAGCGACAGCGACAGCGACTGATCTGACCCTCTCTTTCTGCGTCTGTCTGTCTCTCTAGTTTCCTTTCAATAACATCAATATCTAATCTTTGTATTGCGTTTCTCTGCTTTTCTCCGGACTTGTAATATCCACTGCGACTATATTATAATAATAAAGCCTCCTCATCTTTCTAATTTTGCTTTTATCTTCACCAATTCATCTCAGCTCTTTTTTCTTTTTGCATTTTTGAGAAAATTCGTAATTTAGGACTCCAATTTCTGATAAAATAAAGTAAATATATTAGCAGTATTGAGGAGATGATGTAGCTGTGCGAGATTTAAGGTGGGAAATTTAAATCAAGGAGAACCCAAAGCTTTGAGGAAAATTGAGAAACGAACAAAAGTGGCCAGAGTTTTACCCATCCTTCACCATATCTTCTTCTCCCGATTTGACGGAATTTGAAGGGAGATTTCAACAACTCCTCCAGGGCTTTTGTTCATCAAAGAGGGGGCAATACTTTTCTATAACTCTTCTTCTCTTCCATTTATTGGAACCACATCTACAACTTTGATGAGAGAGTCCAACCAATTATGCTACAAGTGAGGAAGAAGCTTCTAAAGTTCAGTGATTGGAACACCAACCTTACCTACACCGGTTATGCTCTATTTTAAAGAATTTGAATTAAAATAGGGGTTTATTTTGCAACAAAATAAACATTCCAAACAAGTAACTAACTATTTGATATTTCCTTTCGTGCCAGGCTTATCGGAGGAGCACACTTGCTAGATATTATGTTTGTAAGACTGAGTTGATACTTTTACTATGATGAGACTTGTTAAACAGTGAAATCATGTACATAGCCACTTTGGTTTAATCCCATTAAGCTTTGCTTTCTGCGTATGCAAGATTATGAATTGTTCATTGATATATAATCAAGTTGAATGTATTAAAGAATATTAAGATATAAATGAGCAATTAGGGACAATTTATAAACTCTAACTAAGCTTCATTGGAAGGGTAAGAAAAGTATGGAATAGGAACGATTACAATAGACAAATAGTGATTGATATAACTCGATAAAAGCATGGATGGATGATTATGAGCATAATGCATGAATATGTTGATTCATTATCGTTTCCATATGATGTATGATATAAAGTTTATGATACTCAGTATGCAAATGATTAGGGATCACCAACTAACCCTTATTTGTGAACTAGTCGAGATAAGGACAACAGTCCATAGAAGAATTTGAGATCTCAAGTAGTATATAAAAGTGTAGATCTCGAAGTAATACTTGAGATGAGTACTAGATCTTGAGTAGTACTTAAGATGAGTATTGTATGAGAATTATGATCTCTAGTAGGATCGATGAGTACTATAAAGGAGCATTAGTATCCGAAAATAGTCAAACTCTAGGAATACATGATATGAGTATGTTGCTACAAGGAGAATGGAGATAGCTAAGATCTTCTAACTTACTTATAATACTAAAATGTAGTAACTGAGTAATCTAATGACTAGATTATACGATTATATTTATATTTACGTGTTCGATAGTTTATTCTTAATCATAGACTATTAAAATGGTCTTTCATAGTATATTGTTTGTGTATGATTTCATGATTGAGGAAAATTATGAGTTTAATAACTTATTTTTAATAATAAAAAAAATATATTGAGATGGAGTCCAGATACACATTAAATGATGATTGTACTCTAAAGAGATAGAAACATGATGAGCTCTAAAGTGTTATATTTAAAAAGGTAGTTGAAGGACTAGAACCGAGCAAATTAGATGATAAGCTCCAAAAGAGCTGTATGATAAAGTTTGAGGAATGAGTTAGGTTTCAAAAAACTAGCCTATGTAAAGAGATAAATTCTCCTGAGTTAAATTT